ACGAATGTAATTATGCAATCACAAGGACACATTTGATAAGATTATTTTTAAGATACACAATTTTTTTTAAAGAATTCACATGCGTTAGTGTTTAGACAATTCACATGATAAAAAATTTGAGAGTTATACGGTTTTTGCGTATGTATGTATAAATATAAAAGTTGGTAATTCAATGAAGATATCCTAGCAAAAGGTACTAAAAACAAATCAATTTTATGAAATCTCATATCTCATATTAATGAGAATAAGTAAACAATTCTTAGAACCTCTAGAAAGTGGACATTGAATTGACATTAAGTATATAAATTGGACATACTTTTTTTATAACATCTCTTAGTGGATATGATTAGTACTTAATCCAAAAATCTTAGCTATCCATTTTCCTTCTTTATTAAACCGTTTACGTTAATAATTAATTCCGATTTTAGGAGTGTTGTACGAGACACCTTAAATAAAGAAAATAATTTTAAAAAAGACTTAATATAATTATTTCCGACTTTGGGAGTGTTTTTCGAGATACATTTAAAGAAGAAAATAATTTTATAAAGGGTATAATATATGCACAACATTTAAAAGCTACAGTACTTCTATATCACTGACCAATATAAATATTGTAACTATGAAATATCTTTATTAACTTATAGACTTTGTAGTAAACAAAGAAAGTAAATGCTAATTTTTACTATTTAAAGCAATTTAAAAAAAAAGATATAATAGTATAATATAGCATATATAAGACAATAGTTAATTGAATTACATTTCTTCTATCAACCAATCAATCAATCCAGTACGTTTCCAGGGGAACATTGGGCAATAACGAACTTTTTCCAACTGTCACGATTTTTTGCCAGGGTTTTGATTTCTCCAAAGGGTTTTCCGCTTGCTTGGATTTCTTTCTCTAGTGTTCGCTTCCACGTTTGCTTGGGTCTACTAGGTCTTCTGCTTCCTTGAGGATTCCATGTTAATGCAGATTTCATTTGGTGCCTATCCTAAAGGGTGCCTGATCCATTGCCATTTACGCTTTTTGATTTCGTTTGCTATAGTAAGTTGGTGACATCTTGATCATAGTTCGGAATTTCTAATAGTGCGGGGCCACTAAATTTTTACATTTCTTCTATGGTATAATGTATGATAATTTAATGATATCTAATTGAACTAGTACTTAACTTATGTAGAAGAAGTTCGGAAAGTTTCCTTCATACATAAACATGCTTGTCTTCCTGAACAGTTATGTAGAAAGAACCAAAATCACAATGACTATCGCTTAACAGTTTTACTAAATCGTTAATATTTATTTATTTCCAGCTTGAGGTGTATTATTATATTTAGATAGAAATAGATAGAAATAGATGAATAATAATGAAAACAACAGAAATTTTGAATTTTTTGACGACCATACAGCTCATTTAAATATCGTCGAATATTCACTATTCACTTAGTAATCTTTGGAAAAATATATTTCCCAAATGATTTCATTTTAGTTCAATATCAATTTTACCATTATTATTTAATGTAATGAAACTTTATTAAAAGTAAGCTTCTATAAACGGACATTTATTTAAACTTTGCAGTGTTATCTCTAGTACTAATTTTGCTTGCAAAGTACATCCTTTTAAACCCACAGTTTTCTTAGTCGGAGAGAATTACTAGTTCTGCTTATTTAAGTTAATTTTTATTGTACATCCCTCCATGCATATCCTCATCTATTTATACATAGCATATTCATTTCAGCTATTTAAAATACACTTTTTGTCATGTTATAAATACTTCAAAGGTCCTCAAACATTTCTTCAAAATTAGTTGTCCATCTTAAAACTACCAATTTAAAACCAAAAAAAAAGTTGATACTGCGTTTCATAATATTATGAAAATTGCATATTAAATAAAATTAATCTAGAGTACTCTTACTTAAATATTATAAAGAAATATGATCTTGGTTTTAAAATTGCTTATATACTGTTTAACTATCTCGTAGTTAAAATGAGATATAAGTTAAAACTATATCAACTATGTAGTTGAGAAAGGGCATTATTTTTCTAAGATATAAGTTTGGGATTTGTTCCAGACTCACTAGTTTCTAGACTATCATAATTCGATTTACGCATTTGGAAAGAAAGTATTCAATTGTTTCTTCTGCTTTTTCTTCCTTGCCACTTCTGCATTTCTGATTGTTATTGGCGCAATTGTTAGCCATAGGTGCCCACTGGCCAATCAGCTCCATTACAAAGTTGGTCAAGGTATAAATATAAAAATTTATAAGTTTATAAACTGAATCATATTTAATTATCTAATTGAGGTAATTAAGTTTACATTCGGTTATATGTTCTTTTTTTAGTGTAATCTTTGTTATAAACTATTTTTATCAAAAATATTCTTGTGCTGGGAAGCTTTTTGCTATAAACTTTAAAGTAATTTCATGCTAACTACTGTTAAAGTGAAAGATATAAATTTAATATATTATTTAGAAATGATTGTTATAAGAAAACAATTTTCCTTCATGGGTCATAAAGATTGCAGACTACCTTTGCTCTTTGCAGAGTTTTACTGTATTATATTCATAACATTTATTTGTTGCCTTCTTAATTGGGCCTTGATTTCTTCAAGCCCCTGTGAAAAAAATCTTTGATTGTCTGTAACCAATATAATAAACAATCTTCCATCGCTTTAAAGTCTAAATGCTTTACCATTTTAATTTATGCATTCGTATCGCATACCGCAAATATTAACTCTCAAATAAATGCACTAGAAAAATAATTTTGTTCAGTATTATTATTATATATTTATGTTAAAGCATTATAAAAGTTTTAAGAAGAAACAATTTAAATATAAAACAAGTGTAATGGAAAATAAAAACACACTACACCTTAAGCTTAGAATCTGTAGAACTGCGTAAAAAAAACCCTTAGCAAAAATTAGTTTTACACAAAACACAGAAATTGCAGTATTTTTTATTATATAAAATGAAAAATGTAGTGAAATTTTATTATATAACATAAAATCAAATAATATATTTTTACATCCACACATACATTAAAAAACAATTCGATAAGATTAGAATCAATTGCGATTTAAATAGCATAGGATCCTCCAGAAAATACTGCATTTTCTTATCAATTCAGCTGCATTAGGGCCGAAAAGGCCTGCATAGGAAACGGAAACTTATGAAACATAACAAAACTAGTTGCAAAGCTTTTTAGAGCAAAATATATATGTATATGTAAGACAATGCTTATGAATATAGACGTTTTTGGATAGCTTTTGAAGTGAAGGCGCTCAATAAGAAATTAGATATCTCCTAGCTACAAAGGAGTTTCGATAAATTCGTAAAAAATCATAAAATCGTTTTAGGTGTAGTGTAGTCAAAGAGTAAAATAAAATATAAAAATATAAAAAGTAAAAATCATAAATAGTTTTAAATGTACCAAAAAGTATTATTTACAAAATATGTATTATCAATAAATAATTAAAACGAAAAAATAGTTACGAGTATTTCATAAAATTTTTATTATTATTATTATTACGATATTATTACTTGAACACAGAAAGTGAGACTGATAGTTCTATATATGTATCTCATGCAAAAAATACATATTTGAATATATTTTAAATTGTTTATTGCTCATGAAAATAATTTTAATAATTAGAATTTGTTACTTTTATGATAGTTATTTTTTAAATAATTGTTTTACTGTGTTAGATAAATTTTATGAATATTGCTTATTAGCACCAAAAATAATATTTTACATATATTAAAACACATATATTATATATTAGTATAAAACACACAAATTCAGTAATTACAAAAAATTAAAAAATATAACAATCCTCTCTCTCTATCTCTCTCTCTCTGTAACTCTCTATATCTGTCTCTCCTATATGACAGCACAACCCTGTGCTTAAAATATAAACTTTTTGTTATTTTGTTATTTAAAACGAATCATAAGAAAGTTATATTCAAAAACTATACAGCAAGAAATTTATAAAATTATTAACAACAATTATTTAAATGATTAAAATTTGTTTAAAAAGGAACTTAGCTCAAAAATGAGAGAAAATCAAAAAACAAATAAAATTTAAACGAATTTTCGTCTCGATCACATGCAACGAAAAACGAAAAGTATTATAAAAATTAGAAAATATAATAATAATACAATTAAATTAAATAAATAAAAACAAAGTATTCCATTACATGTATGTATATGTGTCTGTGTGTACGTTGAAATACCATTACCATTACATTACAACCCATAACATAAATTGCATTACAGTGATTAAGTAATTAAATGTTACATGTTAAATGTCTTAACAATTCAATAAATATTGTGATCGTGTTCAAAATGTCGTAAAATTAACAAAAAAAATAATTTTATAATAACTATGAAATCCAAAAATAGCAAAAAAACAAAAATATAAGAAAATGTATAACACACATTCTATTAATTAATAGAGTAATGTGTAGGAGTAATTACACCCCCGCGTGTAATATTTAGATTTATAACATGTATTTGGCTAAAAGCACTAAAGTAATTATTACAAATTGAATACATCATATGGAATTTTCATTTATGTTATTTTTTCTTAATAAATTAAAACAATAAATGCAAAAGTATATATCAATAAATATCACTCATGGCAAAGAAAACTGATATTAAATATTATATCTCTGTTTTGTAATAGCAAAAAAATTATGGTCGCAGCTGCCGCTTAGCTCCCTGAAGAGTCCATAACTGGTATTTTATTATTTAATATTTTCGTAAATAACTTTCTTCTATCATCTTCAATTCCCAGGGGAGTATAGGGCCTCGAACGTGTAAAACAGTGTAAATAGCTTCAATTTGTGTATAATACTAACTAACATTAGTCATTATTACGACTGGCCTGGTGCTAGATTTAGGGCACATAAGGTATTGCTGTAAGACACAAGTAGTTTGGGTATTGTAATTACAATAATAGTGACGATATTTATGTAAGAGCTACGAAAAAAGGTATCTGAATTGTTTCTTTTTAAATATTTTTAATTCTGTTCGATAAACAATAAATTATTATTTTATTTAAATTGTACAATTCAAAATTGTTAGATACTGACTAGGACTAGGATATCGTGACGAGATGTTTTTTTTTTAAGGTTCACATCATTTGATAAAAACCACGGGTGTCGAATTTCTTAGAACGGCACTACATTCCCAGATACGAGAAAAATAAGGGCACTAAAGCTTTTTTGATTCAAATTATTGACAATAAATTAATTTCAATTTTAAGTAAAACTCGTTAATATTGAACTTTTCTGTTAAAAAAAAAACTCAAAAAAATATAACATACGCAATCATAGCATATTAAGGTTGTAGTCTTAAAAACTTCCCTATTTCAAATTTCCCCATTCGTATCTTTCACCTTTCTAATAGTGAAAGTATGACAGAAATTGTTAGAAAAAGTTAACCATCTACGATAAGTGGCACCCAATGTGAAGCTTGACGCTTCTGGAATACATAATTCTATATCATTACTTTTTAATTTACTGTTCTGTAGAAAACATTATATTATATTATATGATTAGTTAATGATTTTTTCAGCAATTTCATTTATAGAGAACAAATGTCAAATAACTCCAGAAAGTACAGTAAGTAATTCTAGAGTATTTAACAGAATACTAACAATACAACCCCATTTCAATATTCAAACGTGTAATGGAAGACACTTCTAATATTGTGACTTTTCAATATAGAAGAATTTTAAAGAAAAAAACTTTTCAATATAGAAAAACTTCAAAGATGAAAGCAAGGTGCTATTATTCCTAACTTGGCTAAAATAATAACTTGATTTTTTGTTTTGTGCTTAGTGAGTCTCAAAATATATACCTGCTTTATTTTATCAGCTTCAAATTATATATTAATACACATACCCAAGTAGTTAACTAGAAACACAAATATAGAAACTTGAAAAGGCATTTATTGAAATTTTAATCTAAAATAAATGACAATTGTTATTTTTAATAAAATAAATCAGTAATTTAAAACAATTATACTATATAATATAAAATAATATTAAAGTTTTAGTTAACAATAAATATTTTTATAATTTCTAAAATAGGTTGGTTTTCAAAGCTCAAATTATCTCCAGGTTTTTCAATAAGACAATATTATTTCAAATTATATTAAAGCCGTTCTTTTGAAGCATATATCTTTTCTTTGCACAAATATCAAACAAGCTATAACTAAACCAAATTACTGGAAATTAGATCAAAATGAAAAAGGTAAATAAATTATACCAAAATCTACTTAATTGGTATAAATTTATACAATAGTGTTTTCTTCCAAAAAAAGATATTGCATACTTTTTGGGA